CTTTACCCAAGAGGAGCTGGTAGACTTGGAAAGCTTCAACAAAACTGATCCTTGTTTAAATTGGTGTGAAGAGAGAATTTGGCCTGAATTTTTCATCCCATAAGTGTATTTTTATGCTATGAACAGAGGAAATGAATATACAGTTCTAACAGATTTTATACGTTAATTGGGAAAATATAAATTTCTACTGAAGTGCCTTTATTAAAGATCTCAAGAAGTCATTGGATAATGGCTTTGTGTTCCTCATATGCCTAGTGCTATACTAATGTAAAACAGAGGCTCTCAACCAGGGTTCCATCCTGTGTTGAATACATTTTGTTTTGTGCACCAAGGCATGTGTGGATGTGCACCACCAGTAGAAACATATACTCAGCTAATCAGTTGGGCAGCACCTAAATCTCATCTGGGTGGCCACCCACTTGCTTAGCTTACAGGGAGCACTGCTCTCAACCCCACCAGATCTGTCAGGCATACCCTAAATTTTATCTTACTTAAAATATTTGCTTACAAAATTAGACATAAAAATACACATAAACAAGTCTTTGGCAGTATGAAAATTGAGTTTGTACTGACTTTGCTAGAATTTTTATGTAGTTTGTCATAAAACTTGGCCAGTGCCTAGATGAGTTTATGTACCTCTTGGAAAACCTCTGAATTTCCCAAAGGGTATGGCTGAGAACCATTGATAAGACGTTCCAGTGGTTAGATTCTGCACTTATCGATAGAGGTGTCGTTGCAGGGGTACTCCAGTAAAACTGACGGAGTTACTCCGGTTTACACTGGCGTAGCTGAAAGTAGATTCTCTCCCAGTGCAGCTACACAGACTATAGTTATTGATGTAACGATTTTGTATATATCGTATCTGTTTTGCTTCCCTCATTTTGATAGGCTATTTAAAGTAGAAGAGTTACCCGGTGTCTCTTGGGACCTTAACTCAAATAAGTTTTGGTTTTAAATCATTATTCTGGGGTGGGGCTGGGGAGGAGGGAGTCAGGATGCAAGTTGCCCTGGGCAGAGAGGACAACGCCAGACCTCTCTCCCTTCAGAAGCTTGGGACCAGGTGAGAAGTACATCTCCATGAATGCTGCAGATGCAGCAGGCACAGCTGGGGGAGGGTTGCATGGCCCCAGGCTGGGGGTCAGACACACAGACAAGCAGACAAACTCTCTGAAATATACAATAGATAGCAGTCCTGTTCTTTGTCCTTTGCTGGCCGGATGGGGTTATGGCTGTCCTGGTTCCCATCTCTGCCTCCTTGCTGCCCCCTTGTGGTCATTCTGGAGTATAACTGCCCCTCTTACCATATCCCTCCCTTTCCACTTCATGAGAAACAATCCCATTCCAGGCACATCCCATTGTCCTGGCAGAACCAAACCCCGACCTCACTTAAGAGGAAATTGCCTACCACATTTGGTGATCCTAGCGCTTACCTTTTAGGAGGAGTTCTTAGTATCATAGAATCATAAAATACTAGGACTAGAAGGGACCTTGAGAGGTCATCGAGTCCAGTCCCCTGCCCTCATGGCAGGACCAAATACTGTTTAGACCATCCCTGATAGACATTTATCTAACCTACTCTTAAATATCCCCAGAGATGGGGATTCCACAACCTCCCTGGGCAATTTATTCCAGTGTTTAACCACCCTGACAGTTAGGAAGTTTTTCCTAATGTCCAACCTAAGCCTCCCTTGCTGCAGTTTAAGCCCATTGCTTCTTGTCCTGTCCTCAGAGGCCAAGATGAACAAGTTTTGTCCCTCCTCCTTAAGAAATCCTTTTAGATACCTGAAAAGGGCTATTATGTCCCCCCTCAATCTTCTCTTTTGCAAACTAAACAAACCCAAGTCTTTCAGCCTTCCTTCCAAGCTCATGTTCTCTAGACCTTTCATCATTCTTGTTGCTCTTCTCTGGACCCTCTCCAATTTCTCCACATCTTTCTTGAAATGCAGTGCCCGGAACTGGACACAATACTCCAAACTTCCTGAAGAAACAGAATCAGAAATGGATGGATGGATGGATGGATGGATGGATGGATGGATGGATGGATGGGCACACAAACTCTCGCACAGCAAAGATATTTCAAAATAACAGCAGTTATTTCGAAATAACTTTCCTAGCATCTACACAAGCCAACTGCTATTTCAAAATTAATTCGAAATAGCAGAGGGCTTATTTCAAAATGGGTAAACCTCATTCCACGAGGAATAGCGCCAACTTCGAAATTGCTATTTCAAAATAAGTGCTGTTTAGATGCTTATTTCAAAATAGGGGGCCTTCAACCCTATCCAGGGTGCCTTGCTGGCCGCCCTGGCCACAAGGTACGATCTGACTTGATGCCCTGCCAGAACCAGTTCTGGCTGGCCTTAAAAGCCAATCAGTGTGGATGTGCTCTTTTGAAATAGCAAAAAGCTATTTTGCAATACATTTTGTGTGTAGACACATTATTTCGAAATAAGATACTTCAAAATAACTATTTCAAAATTAGATATTTTGGAACAATGCTGTAGTGTAGACATACCCTCACATATATAGTAAATAATGAAACACATTAGTAAAACACATTAGTAAAACTGCTACAATATGTATTATTTTATTTCCCCCGGTTATCTTTTTATAAAGATCTCTAGCTCAGACATTACCAATGGGATATCTTTATTTTAGAGAGAGTTGAGGACTGAATTGCTCATGACCTAAAGACAAGGGAAAAACAGGATTTGCTGATAATTCTTTGCATTCCACAATATTGATGTTTTCACCAACTTACAAACTGCCGATAGAAATATACGAGAAAATCATTTTGATCTATCTTTCCTACTCTGAGCCCACCACCCTCATTTTAGCAAAGGTAGATTAGTACTTGATAATAAGAGATTTACTTATTCTATTCAGCCAAAAGAATAATGGTGCACTAACAGAAGTGTGTACACACACATATTTCAGTTATAGTGATAGAAATGTGTTAGTCTGGTGTAGCTGAAACAAAAACGGGACTATGTAGCACTTTAAAGACTAACAAGATGGTTTATTAGGTGATGAGCTTTCGGGGGCCAGACTCACTTCCTTAGATCAAATAGTGGAAGAAAAGTTCAGTTATGGAATTAAGTCAAGGCACCATTAGATGATAGCAAGAGTAACAATATATATTTGTTAGTCTCAAAGTGCATGTCTACAAAGCAGGGCAAAACTCGAATTACGCTATGCAACTTGAGCTACGTCAATTGCATAGCTGAAGTCGAAATAGCTTAATTCGGCTTTTGGCTCTGTCTCCACAGCAGGAAGTTGAAGGAAGAACACTCTTCCTTCAACTTCCCTTACTCCTTGTGAAATGAGGGTTACAGGAGTCAGAGTAAGAAGTCCTCCAGCTCGACATTATTTCGAAACAATGGCTTGCTGCATAGACATGCACTTTGTTATTTCAGAATAAGGCCAGCTATTCCAAAATGATGCTGCTGTGTAGATGTACCCTAAGGTACATAGACATGCACTTTGTTATTTCAGAATAAGGCCAGCTATTCCAAAATGATGCTGCTGTGTAGATGTACCCTAAGGTACCACGGGACTACCTGTTGTTTTTAAACTTACAGACTAACACAGCTATCCCTCTGAGACTTTCCAATAGTTTAGAGGTATTCAAATTCTTTTCCAAGTCATAAGTCTACTAATAACGTTTCTCAGGGCTTCCTTCACCTCTCTGTTTCTCAGACTGTAGATAAGGGGATTCACCAGTGGTATGATGACTATGTAGAAAACAGAGAGCGCTTTGCTAAGGTCTCTAAGGGTGTTGATTCTTGGAAATGTATAAGCAATAGTTAGAGTCCCATAGAACATTGTCACCACCATGAGGTGGGAGGAGCAGGTGGAAAAGGCCTTTTGCCTCCCGGTGGAGGACGGGATTCTCAGGATGGTGGAGATAATACAAATGTAGGAGGTCATGGTCAATAGAAATGGAGGTAGGGTGAATATGAAGCCAAGAAGTGAGGCCACAATTTTCATGGAGTAGGTGTCACTGCAGGAGAGGTCTAGCACCGCGAGGTAGTCACAAAAGAAATGGTCAATTTTGTTGGGGCCACAGAAAGTTAATTGCACGATCAAGAAGAGTAACAACAAAGTAGCCAACAGTCCCGTGGTCCAACAGCCGGCCACAAGCTGGAAGCAAAACCTGTCATTCATCAGATCTGCGTAACGCAGTGGGTTGCATATCGCCAAATACCGGTCATAAGACATGACAGATAAAAGATAACATTCGGTGCCAAGTAAGGAACCGAAGGAAAAAAATTGCACAAGGCAGCCACTGTAAGAAATGGTTCTGTCCCCCGTCAGGAGACTGGCCAGCATCTTGGGCAGGAGGGTGGAGCTGTAGAAGGTCTCCAAGCAGGACAAGTTCCCCAGAAAGAAGTACATGGGGGTGTGAAGGCAGGAATCAGCCATAATTAGCACAAGGATGAGGAGGTTCCCAGTCATGGACATAAAGTAGAGCAGAAGGAACAGCAGGAAGAGTTGCAGGTGTAAATCCTGGACATTCCCAAATCCCAGGAGGATGAATTCTGAAATGGATGATTGATTTCCCCCTTCCGCCTTTTCCATGGGAGGTGACCTTATTAAGTAACACACATTCTGCAAGATAATTTGAAAAAAAACCACCCAAATTAACCAGCAATGCAGTGCCATTAGCTGGATTCTATACTTCCCAAACCCTACATTTCCCAGATTGTTACATAGCTAAAATATTGGGTCAGATCTCATTCTGTTGGCTAAAGGAATTAGATGTCCAAAGAGTGATCTTTCTTTCTTTCTTTCTTTCTTTCTTCAACCTATGTTACTAAGAAGAAGGGGGATGTTATTTTGCTTGTTATTGTTCTCATAAATTGTCTGCATTCATTATTAATCCATCATTATTACCCTGAATATCCGTTCATAATGACCCATGGTGTTGGAAGTTATGGGATAATGTCTCCAGGAAAGGGACAGGAGCCACGTGGTTTTAGTAATTGGACAAAGCTGTCAGAGGTAGCACAAGGGATATTATCAAGGTCTTTTGTCACTACTTTCGGGGTCATATCCTAGTGCATGTGATGAGAAAGAGGCACATGAATCCAAATCGACAAACACGATGTTGGGTAAGAGTTACAATTCACACCCTAACATAACAAACAAGACAATAATAAGTCCAAAGAAAAGACTCCTCCATTTCTTGCTGCTTTCACATTGTCTACAATACTTTCCCGAAGGATACGTCTACACAGTCATTGAGTATTCACACCTTTGTTGTTCAGAGGTGTGAAACCTCCCTCCCACATAAAAGACAAAATTTTTCCAGTGGCGAGTGTGAGTCGGAACAGCATTACATCAACAGTGACTCATGAGTGGTGTGGAGAAAAGGAATAAGAAAAAATTATTTACTTGTTTCCATAATATAAGAACTAGGGGCCATCAAATAAAACTAATGGGCAGCAGGTTTAAAACAAATAAAAGGAAGTTCTTCTTCACACAGCGCACAGTCAATCTGTGGAACTCCTTGCCTGAGGAGGCTGTGAAGGCTTTAACAGGGTTTAAGAAAGAACTAGATACATTCATGGAGGTTAAGTCCATCGATGGCTATTACCCAGGATGGGTAAGGAATGGTGTCTGTAGCCTCTGTTTGTCAGAGGGTGGAGATGGATGGCAGGAGAGAGATCGCTTGATCATTATCTGTTCAATTAACTCCCTCTGAGACACCTGGTATTGGCCACTGTCAGCAGACAGGTTACAGGGCTAGATGGACCTTTGGTCTGACGCAGTACGGCCGTTCTTATGTTCTTACGTTCTTAAAAGGAGTGTTCTCCTGTTGACAATGCCAATGCTGCTCGTTACGAGGCGGGAGTATTTTCTCAGCAAAAATGTCAACAAGGAGCAGCTACACGCCCGTATTTTTAGTGATACTGCTGTGTTGACAAAGCCGAAGGTACTCTAGGGGTGTATCTAAACTACATGGCTCCGTCGATGGAGCCATGTAGATTAGGGTTGTAGGCAAAGGCAAATGAAGCCGCGATTTAAATGATTGTGGCTTCATTTAAATTTACATGGCTGCCGTGCTGAGCCGACAAACAGCTGATCGGCTGTTTGTCCGCTCAGCGCGCTAGTCTGGACGCTCCCCTGCCGACATCCAAGCCCTTTGTTGGCAGCCCCGGTAAACCTCATCCCACGAGGAATAACGGGGCTGCCGACAAAGGGCTTTGATGTCGGCAGGGGAGCGCCCAGACTAGTGCGCTGAGCGGACAAACAGCCGATCAGCTGTTTGTCGGCTCAGCACGGCAGCCATGTAAATTTAAATGAAGCTGCGATCATTTAAATCGCGGCTTCATTTGCCTTTGCCAAAAAAAACAAATCTACATGGCTCCGTCGACGCAGCCATGTAGTTTAGACGTGCCCTAGAACTCCACAAGATGTTTGCTTTCCTCTTCTACAGATACTGAACAACAGTTCATACCTTAGCTTCCCTCTGGGGCACCTGGCATTGGCCACTGTCAAGAGACAGGATACGGGGCTAGATAGACCTGTGGTCTGACCGAGTCTGGCCGTTCTTATGTTTAAAAAAGGTCCCAGAGGGATCCCGGCAATTATAGGTCAATGCACCCTACTTCAGTACCAAACAAACTGGTATGTGACACAGTAAAGAACTCAGTTATCACACACAGAGATGTGACATTTGTTGGGAGAAAGTCAGCATGGCTTTTGGAAATGGAAGTGACTCCTCTAATAAATTTTATCAAAATTCTGAGAGAAAGCATAGGTCTAACAGCGATACACTCCTAGGGTATGCCTAGACTACACACCTCTGCCGACAGAGACATGTAAATTAGACTACCCAACATAGTCAATGAAGCGGGGATTTAAATATCCCCCACTTCATTACAATAAAAATGGCCGTTGCGCTGTGCTGGCTCAGCTGATCGTCGACACAGCACGGCAGTCAAGACGTGGCTTGATCGACAGGGAACGCCTTTGTCGAACGCTCCTGTAAACCTCGTTTCAAGAGGCATAAGGGAGCGGTTGACAAAGGCATTCCTTGTCGACCGATCCGTGTCTTGACTGCCGCTCTGTGCCAATGATCAGCTGCACTGGCACAGTGTGGCAGCCATTTTTATTTTAACGAAGCGGGAGATATTTAAATCCCCGCTTCATTGACTATGTTGGGTAGTCTAATTTACATGCCTCTGTCGACAGAGGCAAGTAATCTAGACATACCCCTAAAGTGATTAGTTTAAAAGAACGTCAAACTGGAGAGCTCCCACCAATTACACTAGCTGACATGATAGAGCTAATTTTCAGGGTTTTTTTAATCTCACTTAATCCTAACATCCCTCCTTTTAGTTTGCTCAGTAGTTCCTCAGCACACCCTCAGTTAGATTGTAGAATTACATTATAGGGAACTCAGGTAACTGCACCAAAATTATAATGGGGACCAACCAGGAACTAGCAGAAAGATGTATTGGATTGGGACCAATATTCCTCTTCTATCTCGATCCTCCTTCTATGAGGCTCCATCCTAGTATTTTTGGTACTAGGTACTTTTTGTACTACTGTCCGGTACTACTGGTACTTTTGGTACTTTGGTACTACTATCCTCTGCCTCCTTCCCCTATCTGTACAGAGGGCAGCACTAAAAAATACCGGGAAGACGTTTGGAGAGCATGAGGCTGAATTAAAAGTATATGAAACACTCTGATTCCCCTGGATGGAAGGGGCGTAGCAATGCAAAGCAGGGATCGTATTGTGAGAAAACGCTTACCTGAGACAGTGGTCTTGTCCAGATTTGAAGCAAAGGCTGCTTATTTCTGAGGGGCTCTGAGAGCAGGATTCTGGCTGCCTGGGTGGGTTTTCTCCCAAACGAATTCGCTGAAACACGAGCAGGCCACTGACGGGAAGTATCCCACGCCTCATGCAGAACTTGTGTTCCCCTCCTCATTTGATTGCACGGATGGCACCTCATATTTACGTGCTTCACAGAGCACTACATCTCTCCTGGTGCCCGCCGTAGGGAATTTGCGAGCCTCGGGATTCATGGCTGTGCGGCTCTTGGTTTTGATGGGGACAGTTCAGATTGAGCCCTTTGCAGTGAGAGGAAATTTCTCCTCATAGACCACCAGTGTGGGACAATCGCTCTTCAGGAAGAAAACACCTTGCACATCTAGAAATGGAACCTTTGCTTCCTTACTTACTTTAGTGTCCTTCTTACAAACAGGATGCTAGGGCCAGATTTTTGAAGAGGTTTCCATGCCCAGTTGACAACACAGTATATTTGGCACCATGTGGAATGGCTTCCTCTGTAATACAGATGTTTATGGTCATTCAAGTACACAGATGACTAGGACCATTAGCCACAGGCGGTGCCTAATGGTTTTTAGACATGTCTCGAGGATGCCACAAGTTGTTCCAGAAAACAACCATTTTCTGGGAGGATTATAACAGCCAGGATAAAATGCCACCAACTAAGCAGTGAAGGAAGAACTCCTATTACATGGGCTCTTCATGTCAGTTCCAAAGTTGTACTCTCAGGAGGTCAATCTTCCGCAGACGTGCAGGAATGAGCCAAAATGGCAAACAAATGTTATGGCTGACTTGTTAAGTGTTGGAGGAGGAGAAGTAGTAGTAGTAGTAGTAGCAACTCACCTTGTTCAATAACTGGTGTTCTTCAAGATGGGTGTCCCTGTGGACACTCCACAACCTGCCCTCTGATGAAGACAAAGACAAGAGAAGAAGGAGAAGATGAAGATGAAGAAGACGATGAAAATGAAGACAAAGAAGAAGATGATGAAGAGGACGATGAAGACAACGAAGAAGACGATGAGAATGAAGATGAAGAAGACGATGAAAATGAAGACAAAGAAGAAGATGATGAAGAGGACGATGAAGACAACGAAGAAGAAGATGAGAACGAAGATGAAGAAGAGGAGGAGGAGAAGAAGAAGTAGTAGTAGATGGTTGGATTCAATGACCTCCTGAGGTCTCTTCCAACCCTAATCTTCTAAGACCTGAAGAAGACAACGAAGTCGAAGAGGAAGAAGACAATGAAGACAAAGACAAAGAAGAACATGACAAAGAAGATGATGAGAAAAGATGAAGAAGACAAAAACAAAGAGGAAGAAGACAAAGAAGATGATGAAGACGAAGACGATGAAGACAAAGATGAAGAAGAAGAAGCAAGAGAAGGAGGAGGAGGTGCTTAGAGGGACTGTCAAAAGCACCTATATGCTTAAACCTCTTTGATTTCAGTGGGTGCTAGGTGTCTAGATAATTCGGAAAATCCCACTAGGCATTTGAATACTTTTAAAATCTGGCCCTTTGTTACTTGATTAACATTATATATGGGGCCTGTCACATCCCACTCCAGCCAGGTTTTTGAGCATACAATCAATTGTAAGTGCACCATTGCCCCATTTGAAATCAGGGTCCCACTTATATATTGAAGGACTTATTTAAAGTTTGATCTACACTTAAAACATGGGCGCCGGGATGTGGGTCAGGGATATGAAAAAGTCGCACTCCCCAGCAATATAGCTCTGCCAGCCTCACTACACTGCACTGAACCTGCCCCTTAGCCAGAGCCTCTGGAACCCAAACCAATCATAGGCCAGGTGTGGGTGTCTAATTGCAATGTACACATGCTTTTGAGGGCACCAAATTCTCATCGGGCAGTTGCGTAAGACCCATTCAATTCATTCCTCAAAATCTTAGGGACAACCGTTTGCAGCCAACATGGTCTAGCCTGTTGCATGTGAGGACATCGATGTAATTGCCATATAGACAGACCCTAAGAAAAGGCAGATTTCAGGTGAATAGATTTTCCTGCCCTCTGTCACTCCTAAAGAATGGGTGTGGTAAATTTCAGGGCTGTGGATCATGCAAGCAAAGAATTAAGTCCCGTGAGTCACTGGGAAATGGATCAGTTAGTACGTCCGTATGTGCAAGAGGGTGTCTTCACTCATCTTATTGTAAGACACCAGCCTAATTCTGTCAGTCAAGTGGTGAGTGGCTGGAGCGAAATGTAAAAGAAGTGTCCTTATATAGGCTGCTTGCAAATGTAGCCTGGCGAGAAGCAGGTACCCACCCACATCCCTCCAGACCTTGCAGTAGAGCCTTATAGGTCTTTCCCCCTTATCCGTCCTCAGCAGATGACCAAAGAGGTTCTTGTAGTAAACAAACAAAGGAAAAGTTCCCCCCTTTTGTAGAACCCTAGAAGATTAGAATGGGAAGGTACCTTGAGAGGTCACCAGGTACCATCCCCTGCCCTCACAGTAGGACCTAGTACTGTCTAGACCATCCCTGGCAGGTGTTTATCTAACCTGCTGTTAGATATCATCCCCTGCACTCACAGTAGGACCTAGTACTGTCTAGACCATCCCTGACAGGTGTTTATCTAACCTGCTGTTAGATATCTCCAGCGATGGAGATTCCACAATCTCTTTAGGCAATTTATTCCAGTGTTTCACCACCCTGACAGTATTATTGTTGCTGTTCTCTATACCTTCTCCAATTTCTCCACCTCTTTCTCGAAGTGTGGTGCCCAGATCTGGACACAATACTCCAATTGAGGCCTTAATCAGCGCAGAGTAGAGCAGAAGAATGACTTCTCGTGCCTTCCTCACAACGCTCCTACCCTTGTGGGGCACAGGAGCCCATGGCAGAAAAAAGAAAAGAAAACCCTTGTGGGACACAGGAGCCCATGGCAGAAAAAAGAAAAGAAAGGGTGGTAAGAAATTCAGACCATCTTTCTGGCTCAATCTAAATTGGCTTGACACCCCCTCCCTCCTTGTGTGGCTCGGAGATTGGGTCACGCAGCTGCAGGAGGGTGAAACTTCTTACTGCCATCCTCTTGGTAGATAAAAAATCACTCTGGATAAACCCCCTCCCTCCTTGTGTAGCTCGGTGATTGGGTCACGCAGCTGCAGGAGGGGTGAAACTTCTTACTGCCATCCTCTTGGTAGATAAAAAATCACTCTGGATAAAGCAAAGAGAAGCAACATATTTTCTATTCCTGAAAAGACTCGTCTTTTATTCTCGGCTAACTATCACAGATATTTGCTTTCAAGCTCTTGGGAATTCGACCAATCTCATCCATAGGGCCCTACCAAATTCACGGTCCATTTTGGTCATGTTCACAGTCATAAGTGTCTAAAAATGGTCACTTTCATGAGTTCAGCGACAGAAACCTGAAATGTCACGGTGTTGTAATTGTAGGCATCCTGACCTACAAGGGAATTGTGTGAGGGTCACAAGGTTATTGTAGGGCTGGTTACGGTCTTGCTACCCTGACTTCTGCTATCTGTAGAGCTGGGTTCATAGTCAGCAGGCAAGGTTATTGTAGGGCTGGTTGCAGTCTTGCTACCCTGACTTCTGCTATCTGTAGAGCTGGGTTCATAGTCAGCAGCTGCTGCTCTCTGGCCACCCAGCTCTGAAAGCAGCAGGACAAACGTAAGGGTGATATAGGTGTGGTGTTACCACCCTTCCTTCTACACTGCTGCTGATGGGACGTTCCTTCAGATCTGGGCATCCCGTCAACATTCCAATCACCGTTTTCCACTCGCCCAGCTCTGAAGCCAGTGCAGACCTAAGGGTGGTCATACCACGGCCCTACCAAAATAACCGTGTGATCTCCCTTCAGCTCCCTTTTGGGTTGGAAGCCCCACGAGGAATGTTGGTCTCCCCCATGACATGGATATGGTACAGGGGGAAAGCACCCAAAAGGCCAGATTGCTCGGCAGGACACCACATTCCATGGGCCGTGAAATTTGCACGGCTGTGAATTTGGCAGGGTCCAACTCACACAGAAAGGACTTTATTGGGTGATGGCAGTATTCTGAATTCTTCACACGTTACAGGGGGAGCAGGGTGGCTGTGTAAATCTCCAGGATTTCCCTCCGAAATGAGTCACCGGGCCACAGGTAGACCATGCCCCAGTGCCCAATTTACGCACTGGCTATTTAAACTAGAGAGTTTAGGGCCTCCGATTATAAAGGGCCTCTAAATTTAAAAATAATTCCAATTTTTCGTTGCATCCTCGCCTATGTATCATTATAAATGCAAATATCAAATTTCATTAATCCTGTTTTCAGTGTCCTTTTTTTTTTTTTTGGTAATGCTCTGGGACTTCTTAAACTTGACATAGTGTCAAACCTGTTCCCCACTCTGGCATGACAAACGCAGAAGTGGGGGCCCACCAAAGCAACCCCAAAACCTGATCTCTCCAGAACTGGTACAAAAACTGCCCCCCAAATCCTAATACTCGTGTGACATCGTGGGGTGGGCAGTATACTCTTGTAGCCCTGGGTCCACTCTGGTTGCTGTGTTGTGCTCCGGGTGACCCCTACTGGCCGGTGTCTGTAAACACTTCCTGGGGGAGTGGGGGTGGTCCCTGAGGGCAAGCATGTAGGCCTTGGCTAGCAATGTCTCACCTGGCCAGGGGAAGGGGCTCGAACTAAGGAAGGGGTGTGGCTACCTGGGGGGGGATGAGTGTTCTGTGGTTTGGAGAAGGGCCAGTCTTGGCTGGACAAACATGAAGAGAACAGACTAAGTCAAGTACTGGGGGTGCAGAGGCCTGTGTACCCTGCCCCAAGGGGTCTAAGGCTGCCTGCTCCCTCACTCTTATGTCCACATCAAACCCAGGCTGTGCTGTATCTCTGAGAAGCAATAACTGCTCTCTATTGTACTGCCTGGTAGAGTCACCTCTTGCTGTGGACAGGGGTGCAGGGTCGGGGGGTCCCCAGCGCTCCGTCACACCCGGACTTTGGAGAATATCAACCGCTGCCACCACTCAAGTAATTGTAAGAAAACCAGGGAAGAAATCACTTGGGAAATTTCATCCCTAAGATAAAACCAGGACACAAAAATGAACCAATACCGGTTAATTAGAAAAAAAAACTTTTATTATCAAAACAATACTACCATTGCAAACATAGTTAAGGCAGGTAGAGGGTAAGAGTCTCCAATGGATATACTCAGGGCTCAACAAACTATTGAATCTACTTGCCCGGGGCGAGTAGATTTCAGCCTGGCGCCCCGTTTACCGGTGGCGTGCGCAATGTGGCTCTTGCACATGCGCAGTGTGGGGCTGGCGAGTGGCTTTTGCCGCTGTTTGTCAAGCCCTGGATATACTCATGAGGCATGCTCCCATGGGCTCAAAATGTAGTTACAAAAGAGAGAGAGAAAAAACCACGTTTAACAGCACAGACATCAGTTCCAAATCCCCAACCCATGAAAACAATAAAACCTGACGGGCTAACTACTTTGCCCTACTTACACATTGTAAGAGGTCTTGGAGCGGTACAGGCCTTCCCATCTCCCTGTTACTTGGAAGAAGCTGCTCTGCCCCAGACAAAGGAGGGAAAAGTTAAAAATTCCTTTGTCCCTGTTTGAAATCCCTATCTGCTTTACTATTAGCTGACCAGATACCTGGCTAGGGACAGGAGACATAATTAACTCTTTAATACCCAGGCTGCTGGGCAGCCCTCCTGATTATAACACATAGTTATGGCCTTTGTGTGTTGTAATCCAGCCCTGCCACACCTGGACTTGGTTCGGGAAGTGCTGATCCTACTAGCCTACAATTTCACGGGCCACCTGAGATAAGTTAGAGCTGCCCACATAGTCAGACTTTGCTGCTTCCTGTCCCAATGGTCACCCATTTACGTGTATGTCCGTTACCGTGAGATTGCTCTATTCTTGTCAAAGATAAAAAACCCGAGGACAGCTTTTCTCAAGGCTTCCTTTACCTCCTTGTTTTTCAGGCTGTAGATGAGGGGGTTGACTAATGGAGTTAGGGCTCCATAGATAATGGAGAGAACTTTGTTGAGGCCCTTTAATGCCTCAGAGCCTGAGAGAAGATAGACAATGACCAGAGCCCCATAGAAAATGCTCACCACGATGAGGTGGGAGGAGCAGGTGGAGAAGGCCTTTTGCCTCCCGCTGGTGGATGAGATCCTCAGAATGGCGGAGATGATACACACGTAGGATGCCAGGGTCACTAGACACGGAGGCAGGGTGAAGACGGAGGAATGTATGAATGCAGTAAGTTCCAGTGCGTGGGTGTCACTGCAGGACCGTTTTATTACTGGGCCGAAATCGCAAAAGAAGTGGTCAATTTCCTTGGCACCACAGAACGTTAATTGGGACATCAGAATTAATATAATGGCAACAGATGTAAATCCACTGATCCATGACCAGGCCGCTAGCTGGAGGCAGAGTCTCTCATTCAAAAGGACCGCATAACGCAGCGGTTTTAATATTGCCAGATACCTATCATAGGCCATCACCGACAGGAGAGAACACTCGGTGGTTAAGAGAGAACCAAAAAAATATAATTGCACGATGCAGCCGGTAACAGAGATGGTCCTGTCCCCCGTCAGGAGACTGGCCAGCAGCCGGGGCAAGAGGGTGGAGCTGTAGCAGGTCTCCAAGCAGGACAGGTTCCCCAGGAAGAAGTACATGGGGGTGTGGAGGTGCCTATCAGCCACCACTAGCGCCATGATGAGAAGGTTCCCTGTCAGGGTGACAATGTAGGTCCCAAGGAACAGCAGGAAGAGAAAGACTTGCAGCCGAGGGGAATTCCCGAAACCCAGAAGGATGAATTCCGTGATAGACGTTTCATTTCCCAGGTGTTTTCTTTCCATAGGTTTCATCTAAGGAAAAAATATTAAGGAATCCTGTTTAGAGTGCACCTTCCATTGAGCATACTTGGGGATTACTCAAACCACAAAGTCTCAGATTACTGGCAGGGCCCAAAAGACTGACGGCCCACTCATGGGTCTTTAAACGAAAATACAAGTCATATCCCATTGCGAGGCTCAAACCTCTTTTGCCCATATTTATGCCAGCCAATTCCAATGGGGTGGACCCTTGAATTTGAGACCAGAGACATGAATTCATGCACTGGGATGGGTTCCCTAGGGAGGGGTGGAATCTCCATCCCTTGAGGTGTTTAAGGGCTTGTCCAAGCCCTGGCTGGGATGATTGAGTTGGGTTGGTCCTGCTTTGGGCAGGGTGTTGGACTCGATGACTCCTGAGGTCTCTTCCAACCCTGGGATTCTATGAATGGGATCAACTCTATTATAAAAGGAAACCCATAATAGACTCTAGCTGAGCTATGCCACCAAAAGCCATCAACAATGAACGGCACAGCTCAGGTGAAACATGGAGAATTGAAACACCCACTCCCGGGATCCATGTACAATTACTAATTGGGTCCAGGGAACTCAGCAATACATGGAATTTAGGGACCGGATTCTATTACTACAATCTGATGTCCACTGAGAGAGGGGAACTGGACCAGCATGTAACACTTGCATCTAAGTTTTCTCCTAGACTAAAACCTGAAACTCTCCACTAAAGAAACACACAGGAATATATAGTAATATGAATACAAAATGGGAAGCGACTGTCTAGGAAGGAGTCCTACAGAAAGGGATCTAGGGGTCAGAGTGGACCACAAGCTAAATATGAGTCAACAGTGTGACACTGTTGCAAAAAAAGCCAACATGATTCTGGGCTGCATGAACAGGAGTGTGGTGAGCAAGACACGAGACGTCATTCTTCCGCTCTGCTCTGCGCTGATTAGCCTGAGTTGGAGAATTGGGTCCAGTTCTCTGCACCACATTTCAGGACAGAGGTGGAGTATTTGGAGAAGGTCCAGAGAAGAGCAACAAAAACACTGAAAGGTCTAGAGAACATGAGCTATGAGGGAAGACTGAAGGAACTGGGCTTGTTTAGTTTGGAAAGGAGAAGACTGAGGGGGGACATGAAGCAGTTTTCAGGTATCTAAAAGGGTGTTAAAAGGAGGAAGGAGAAAAATTGTTCTTCGTGGCCTCTGAAGATAGGACAAAAAGCAACGGGATTAAATTGCAGGAAGGGAGGTTTAGGTTGGACTTTAGGAAAAATTAGGGTGGTTAAACATTGGAATAAATTGCCCAGGGACATTGTGGAATTTCCATTTGCGGTGATATTTCAGAGCAGGTTGGACAGACACCTGTCAGGGATGGTCTAGAAGGTGCTTGGTCCTGCCGTGAGGGCAGGGGACTGTACTCGATGACCTCTCGAAGTCCCTTCCAGTTCTATGATTTTATGACTCTAATCCAAAGAATGGCACTGACTTTCCAAAGGGTTCTGTTGTTCTAATGTCACACAGCTACTGGTGATGCTTAGAGAGTCCCAGCGAACCTAAATTATTTGGAGAAAGGGGTAAACGGTGAGGTGGCAAAATTTGCAGGTGATACTGAACTGCTCAAGAGAGCTAAGACCAAGGGTGTGTCTAGACTACAGAGTTTTGTCGACAAAAGTGGACTTTTGTCGACAAAATTATACCTGCATCTACACTACCGCTGAGTTCTGTCGACATAACATCGACAGAACTCAGCAGTTTTGTCGACGCTGGTAAACCTCGTTTTACGAGGCATAACGCCTTTTGTCGACAGAGTTCTGTCGACAGAAGGTGTTATTGCATCTAGGGGTACGTCTAGACTACAGCTTGCTTTGTCGACAGAACTGAATGTAGTCTAGACGCTCTTTGTCGACAGAAGCTTTGTCGACAGTATCTGTGGACAAAACTTCTGTCGACAAAAGCCTGTCGTCTAGACGTACCCCAAGGCAGCCTGAGAAGAGCTACAGAAGGATTTCTTCAAACTAGGAGACTGGGGAACAAAACAGCAAATGGATTTGAATGTTGATAAACGCAAAGTACTGCACATTGGAAAACATCATCCCACTGTGAGAATATGGACTTTTGGTGTGATCCAGTGAAGCCGTTCTTATGCACTTGTTGTTTTCATGTTTTTTAATTATTATATGAACCTCATCCATTTTTGTAGCCCCACTGCTGCGGTCGAAAAGCACAGCCGGGTGGGAATTTGGCAATACGATGCACTGAGCGATCCTGCGTGAAAATATGGAAGGATGTTGTTCGTGTATTCAGCATAACTGCAGTGCAGTCTGGGCCAATAATGAATGCCTAATTCAACATGCAGCAAGAACCATCATTCCAACTGGCAAATGAATGCTTGGGATTAGTTTTACACACAACCGTATTTAATGGGCGTGTGCCATGCTCAGTGTCACCAGGCAATTTTCCAAGGGTGCCGGAGCATAACTCACACTAAACAGGAACCTGTAAATCTGACCACGTCCAGAAGGAAATTAAGGCAAGTGGGCATTTTGATATACTCCAGAATGAAGAGGCTTGGGTCCTGAAATAGTTAAAGATGTTTTGATGGGATTTAGTCATCTAATTACGCTAGCGGGATGTGCTGAGTGACAAAAACACAGAGTGCAATCCCACATATTGGCCATGACTTTCTCGGTTGAAATTACCGCCTCTATAATGAGATTCCTGGAGGGTCATTGTATGGGCCACTGAATTTTTTTTTTCAGCCAGAAAATCAAAAGGGAATTCCCCAAAAGGTAGATACATGCACCCATTGCTAGGGATGGGTATAAAAGAATTTCACGGGGGTGTAAGGACAAAATGAGAGAGGCATGAAATGAATTACACTAGCAAGGGAATTGTAGAATCAAGGAATCCCAGGGCAGAAAGAGACCTCAGGAATTATTGAGTCTAACCCCCTGCCCAAGGCAGGACCAACCCCAACTCAATCATCACAGCCAGCGCTTGGTCAAGCCGGACTTAAACGCCTCTAGGGATGGAGATTCCACCCCCTCACTTGAGAACCCGTCCCAGTGCTTCCCTACCTGTCTAGAGAAATAGTTTTTCCTAATATCCAACCTAGACTTCCCCCACTGTAACTTGAGACCATTGCTTCTTGTTCTGCCATTGGCCATCACTGAGAACAGCCTCTCTCCAGCCTCTTTGGGAGAGCAAAGGCAATAAGAAGAGAAAGGAATTATAAATGCTTTAGGAGCAAGCGGACGACAAAGGAAGGTGTCAGTCTTCTCCTCTGATTACAGCGCAGGATAGCTGCTAATTTGCGACATCAGGAAGAGTGACAAATTTACACAACCAGCACCCTCAGCAACCCCAAAGATCTCTGCACAGACTGGACTATCCGTGGGGAAGGATGGAAGGTGGAGAGAAGAATGGCTGAGAGATTTTTTATTTGAACGTCACCGGGCTCATTAATCACAGGGATTCACTTGTGGTTAGTGTCCTGTTTTTAATTGTGCTTAGTGTCCTGTTTTTAACTGTGCTTAGTGTCCCGTATTTAATTGTGCTTAGTGTCCTGTTTTTAATTGTGGTTAGTTTCCTGTTTTTAATTGTGGCGAGTGTCCCGTTTTTAATTGTGCTTAGTATCCCATTTTTAATTGTGCTTAGTGTCCTGTTTTTAATTGTGGTTAGTTTCCTGTTTTAATTGTGGCGAGTGTCCCATATTTAATAGTGGTTAGTGTCCCATTTTTAATTTTGTGGCTAAGGTTCCCCTTTTTAAATTGTGGTTAGTGTCCTGTTTTTAATTGTGGTTAGTGCCCCATTTTCAATTGTGGCTAGGGTTCCCCATTTCTAATTGTGGTTAGTGTCCCATTTTTAATCACTCCGACATTTGTGGACTGTCTAATGTGCTTGACCATATGAGACACACTTCTGTAACAGCGCAGGCATTCGGGTCCCCACGGAGAAGCAAGTAGACTGGCTTGAGGGACAGAAATGTGCTTTGCAGACTGACCTGGTGGCTAATGGAAGGGGTGTTTCAGAGAGAAGAGACTTCAGAAACATTTCAGAACATTCACTTGATTGAAAAGCAAATTGGTTAATCCCTTCTGGATGCAGTTTGAAATGTAACCTTCCTTTTGCTCCCTGTTGCTCCTCTCCTAGTTCTTTACCATTCTGCTTGTCTGTGATGAAGCGGGGGTTTTATTTGCCTTGTAATGTTGCATGTGTGTTCTCCTGTCTTATAGGCCATGTCTACACAGCAAAGTTCTTTCGGGAGACCCGAGATGTCCCGAAATAGCTACCCCGCGTCTTTTGAACGCGTCTGCTGTTTCAAAATAGAGTGGACGTGCTATTTTGCCATCCCTGTAAAGCTCATTCTATGAGGGATGGCTCGAAATAGCGCTTTATTCTGAAATTTGGCACCATGTAGATAGCGCCAAATGACGAAATTAGTTATTTCGAAACAGACTCGAAATAAGCTACGCATAGTGCAAATTGTGTAGCTTATTTCAAGTTTTGGATGCTGTGTAGACCCACCCATAGTGATCCTATACAAGACTATGTAGCACTTTAAAGACTAACAAGATGGTTTATTAGATGATGAGCTTTCGTGGGCCAGACCCACTTCCTCAGAAGTGGGTCTGGCCCACGAAAGCTCATCATCTAATAAACCATCTTGTTAGTCTTTAAAGTGCTACATAGTCTTGTATAGGATCACTATGGGTGGGTCTACACAGCATCCAAAACTTGAAATAAGCTACACAATTTGCACTATGCGTAGCTTATTTCGAGTCTGTTTCGAAATTCCTATGTGTGCGTGCCTCAGTTTCCTGGGGACTGTACTAATACCTAGATAGTGATGGGAATTTTGGAGGGATAGCCTTCCATATGTACACAATCGCTGATGCCCTTCATAGCCTAAGCCTGGGAAAGGGGTATGACCGGGGTGAGAGTTGGGTGGTGGGCTGGCTATAGGAGCTGGGGTCAGGAGCTGAGAGTGAGTCAGTCTTGGCTGGCTTGGGAGGCAGGAGGAAGGCCAGGGACCTAGCACTGGGCCCCCCTCTCCCCAAGATGGATGATGCTGGCTGCTCCTGGGTCCTGTACTGACAAGTCTGTTCAACTAATAAACCTTCTATTCAATCGGAGAGTTACATCGGACTGTGGATGGGCATTCAGGGTCCCACCCCTCAGTAAGATCTTCTGCTTTGTTGTTTGTTTTGCTTTGTTCTCCTGTTTGTTTTTGGGGGGCAAGGAATACCATACCAAGAAACAAGTCCATAAGGAACCAACACCCCTTGGAGTACATTACAATCGCCGAGCTCACATGCACAAGAGGAAGGACTAGGCGTTTGAAGGAGTTACTTAGGAAACAAATACCCTCTCACTTACCCCGGTGTAAATCAGGACTGATAGCCCTGGCGCCAGTAGAGTTGTACTATTGTGAGTGAGAGGAGAGTGACACCTCACCAGTGGTATCTTCTTCCTCTTCAATTTTTCAAGGTCCCGACACAAATTCTTGCCTGGCACACATGCATGGACCCCGGCCCGGGTGCAGTGTTGCAACCGCCTATATTTTCCGTGGTGGCCACATGGGAATGCTCACCAGAGACTCCACGGGGTTGTTGCCCGGCAACCGGAGTCACCCGCTGGTTGCAAATGGTGACGGATTTCCGCTCTCCGGAGCGAGGCAATGTTTTCGGCCACCTCACGTGAACAGACTCAGCGAGTCACCGCCACATTGTGAGGCGAGATTCATGAGACTGGGACTTTTCATCGAGGTGACTGAGGGGCGGGACAGGGTCAGCCCCACTCCTGGGTCCTAGACTGGTGTTCGGTGCACAATCTCCAGTCTAAGTCCTGCAGCACAGGTTTGGCTTGCTCCTTGCAGCGCCTTCACAATGTCCTCCATTTTGCCTTTTCTCCCTTTTTAAAGGGATAGCTTAGCCCGTCCTGGGTGGGTCTGCCACAGGGTCTCACAGCAGCAAAGGCAATCCCACTCCTGACACCATGTGTTCGGTCCACAATCTCCAGTCTAGGTCCTGCAGCACAGGTTTTGCATGCCCCTTCCAGTGTTTTGTGGGGGGCTGTCCCTTGCCAAAAGGGCTGTCAGGACAGATGCTTCTGGTCAACGCCCTCCCCAGCCACCAGCTGGACTCTGATTGCTTGGGGAAGGGAGCCCAAATGCTCCCTGTTGGAGCTCCTCACCTTCCCCCGCCCTTGGCAAAGCTGCCCTTCTCTTTATCGGTGTCTCCCACTCTAACGTGTTGTAACTCCTCTCCACCCCCCTCCAAGCTCCTCTTCCCTTTTCCTCCTCGCCCTCCCCCACAGGGAAGGCTTTTAAAGAGCTCCCCGGGGCAGCCTGAAGTCAGCTCAGCTGGCCCTTATCTGCTTTAGAGACGCCCTCTCTCAGCTGCCCCTAATTAACCAGGGCCGTTGCTATTTTCAAGATCTGCCTTTCTCTCCTTTCTGATCAAGCCCTGTCACCTGCCCTGTCACAGGGGGGATAGGATCGAGGTCTAGACAATCATGACGGGTGGGGAGGAAGTGAGTAAGGAAAAGTTATTTATTTGTTCCCATCACACAAGAACTAGGGGGTCACCCAGTGAAATGAACCGGCAGCAGGTTTAACAAACAAAAGGAAGGATTTCTTCATGTAACGCATGGTCAAAGACCTCCCAGATAAAGCATGAGAGCATGGAAACATAGCCAGAGAACCCTTGATAACACGGATGCAGGGACAAACCATCAATAAGACCTCTTGGCACTCTTCCCTTCCCAGATAGAGCAGTGTTGTCTTCAAGTCGTCATCATCAAGTCCAAATTGAGTCTCAAGTCTTAATTTAAAAAATGTCAAGTCTCAAGTCGAGTCACCTAGGCGACTTAAGTCGGACTCGAGTTTAGTCGTGGGACTCGGGTCAACAGCTCTGGGATAGTCTTCCTAGGAGTCCTTCTAGGGTTCTAGAACCACTACATGCAGAGTAGCAGGAGAGGAAAAGAGAGGATTGGCTGAGTGACCAGTGAGGTCACCACGGCCCCTCCTACGAGAACCGTGAGCTGCTGGCGTAGCCGTGCATACACTTTATTCCTCCTCTAGTGATCAGACCCATGTTTCCTTCACAATTTCACTTTCTTAAAACCTGATGACACCATATGTCGCCTACGGGCATGTTTTATTCAACATGTGCACGGTACACTTTATCCCAGAAAAGGACAGTCAGGGCAAAGGTAGGAGAGAGGACGAGCGCTAAATACATCAAAGCACACCTGTTCAGTTGTTTTATTCTCATGAAATAATTAAGACATTTTTTTCCAATCACTTCCATGTCGAAGAATAAGAAATCAAAGTACAGTTGGAATACACCATATTCTTCAGACATGGGGGGGGAGGGGGTATGTCAATTGCATAGATGAAGTCAAAATAGCTTATTTTGAAACGGGGAGGGGCTACACAACACGTGTTTCAAAATAGAGTGCTCTTCCTCCAACTTCCCTTACTCCTCATCCAATAAGGGTTACAGGAGTCGGAGAAAGAAGTCCTTCAACTTGACAGCATTTTGACATTATGTTGAAATAACTGCCAGTTGTGTAGACATGGACTTATTTTGAAATAATGTTGTTGTGTAGACGTAGTGAAATGCATGGCCTAGATTTTGGTTTGATGTCATAATCCCCTTCTCACCCCTTAAAATCCAGCCTTGAATTCAAAATCTCCTTACCCTGACATTCATTAGCTTAAGTGGCACACAATGAGTATTTCGGAAAAAAGACTTTGTTTCTTTTTCTGACTTTTCTTTGCAGTATAGACCTAGCCTCAGACTGGATCATCTGCCAGTGAGAGCCCACTTATGTGTGTTATCTTGAAATAGCTGTATTCTTGTCAAAACCCAAAAATCGAAGTGCAGCCTTTCTCACGGCTTTCTTTACCTCCTTGTTTCTCAGGCTGTAGATGAGAGGGTTGACCAGTGGGGTCAGGACCCCATAGAAGACAGAGAAGACCTTGTTGAGGTCCCTCAAGGCATCGGAGCCTGAGACTACATATACAAGGACCAGGGTCCCATAGAAAATGGTCACGACAATGAGGTGGGAGGAGCAGGTGGAGAAGGCTTTTTGCCGCCCGGTGCTGGACGGGATTTTCAGGATGGTGGAAATGATACACACGTAGGATGCCAGGGTTAATAGAAATGGGGGCAGGGTGAAGACGGAGGAATGTATGAACGCAGTAACTTCCAGCACATGGGTGTCACTGCACGACTGTTTTATTATAGGGGTTAAATCACAAAAGAAATGGTCAATTTCAGCGGGGCCGCAGAAGGTGAATTGGGACATCAGAAATATTAAGATAGCAATTGAGAGAAACCCGCCTAACCAAGAAGCAGCCACTAGCGTGATGCAAAATTTGCTGTTCATCAGGGCCGCGTAGTGCAGGGGTTTGCATATCGCTAAATACCGGTCGTACGACATCATAGACAAGAGAGAACACTCACTGGTTGCCAGGGAACCAAAGAAATAAAATTGGGTAAGGCAACCGCCAATAGAGATGGTCCTGTCCCCCGTCAGGAACCCGGCCAGCAGCCGGGGCAGGATGGTAGAGCTGTAGCAGGTCTCCAAGCAGGACAGGTTCCCCAGGAAGAAGTACATGGGGGTGTGGAGGTGCCGATTGGCCACCACCAGCGCCACAATGAGGACGTTCCCCACAACGGTCACGATGTAGACGACCAGAAACAGCAGGAAGAGGAAAACCTGCAGCTGCATGAAAGCCCCAAATTCCAGGAGGATGAATTCTGTGATGAGGGTTTCGTTTCCCTGTTGTTTGTTTTCAGCGGGTTTCATCTAGGGGAAAAACAAACAAGTTCTCCGATTTAGTCGTAGGTTCAAAGGAGTCCACATTTTCCTGCCAGGGTTGCCACAAAATGATTGAGCCACGACTCCAGATGGGAGAGAGATTCTGGGTAATATTTTTCAGAAGTGCCTGTGTTAAATCACATCCTTATTATCTGATATCTCTACGGCAGCGGTCTCCAACCTTTTTACACCCAAGATCACTTTTTAAATCTCAGAACAGGCGAAGATCTACCGCCCCGCCCCTTCCTTGAAG